GAGCGCGCCTGGGGCCATGCCCTTGGCCCCGGGCGCAGGCGTTGCAGCAGTGGCTGTGGTGCCTCCGACCACCCGCCCACGTTCTGCGCTCGGAGCGCACATCCTCCTCTTTCTCCTCCTCCTCTTCTTCCTCCTCCTCTTCCTCTTCTTCTCCTCCCTCCTCCTCCTCCTCCTCCTCCTCCTCCTCCTCTTCCTCCTCCTACTCCTCAATCCTCATCATTCTCTTCCTCCTCCTCCTCCTCCTCCTCCTCATCATCATCATCACCACCACCACCACCATCCTCCTCCCCCATCTCATCATCGTCGTCATCATCATTATCATCGTCATCGTCATCAGCGTCACCACCACCACCATCATCATCATCATCACCATCACCACCAGCACAACTACCACCACCACCACCACCACCACCACCATCCATCATCATCATCATCATCATCATCATCATCATCATCATCATCATCATCATCATCATCATCATCATCATCATCATCATCATCATCATCATCATCATCATCATCATCATCATCATCATCATCATCATCATCATCGTCATCATCATCATCATCATCATCATCATCATCACCATCAGCATCAGCATCAGCATCAGCATCAGCATCAGCATCAGCATCAGCATCAGCATCAGCATCAGCCTCATCAGCATCAGCGTCATCATCATCATCATCATCATCATCATCATCATCATCATCATCATCATCATCATTATCATCATCATCGTCAGCATCATCATCATCAGCATCATCATCATCAGCATCATCATCAGCATCATCATCATCAGCAGCATCATCATCATCATCATCACCAGCATCATCATCATCATCATCACCATCATCAGCATCATGATCATAATCACCATCATCATCACCATCAGCAGCATCAGCATCACCATCAGCAGCATCATCATAATCGGCATCGGCACAGTCATCGTCATCATCTGCATCGCCATCTTCATCATCAGCATAATCATCATCATCAGCATCATCAGCATCATCGTCATTAACACCAGCATAAGCATTATCATCATCATAATCATCATCATCATCATCAGCATCACCATCACCATCATCATCACCATCATCATCAACATCATCATCATCGTCAGCATCAAAATCATCAGCATCAGCAGCATCAGCATCATGAGTATCGTCATCATCATCATCAGCAGCAGCATAATAATCAGCAGCATCATCATTATCCTCGTCAGCATCATCGTCATCGTCATCATCCGCATCACCATTATCATCAACATCAATAACCACCACCACCACCACCATCATCATCATCATCAGCATCATCATCATCATCATCTCCAGTTTCCTCTTCGGCATCATCAGCACCAGCACCAGCATGAGCATGAGCATCAGCATCATCATCACCACCACCATCATCAACATCATCAAAATCATCAGCATCATCGTCATCGACATCGTCATCATCATCTCCACCACCACCACCACCACCACCACCACCATCATCATCATCATCATCATCACTAGCATAATCATCATCATGGCAAACAGTCAGTATCCTCCCATCCCTCCTCTCCCCCTCACCCTTTCCTCCTGACTCCCTCTTTAATTTTGCCCCCCCCCGCCCCCTCCCCCTCCCCCCGTCAACTATGCGCCCCTTCTTCCTCCCCCCGCCGTCCCCCCGTCTCTCCAGCCCCCCACCTCGTTCCACCTACCGCCGTCGCACCTCTCACATCCCTCTGCTCTGCTCCCCCTCCTTCCCCTTCCCATCCCACATGCCCCTCTCCTTCCTCCACCCTGCCCCATTGCACCCCTCTCTCCACCCACATACCCTTTCCCTTCCCTTCCTCCTCCTCCCCGTTCCCCAGGGGACACGCGAAGAGAATGGAGCAAAAGGGGGGTCACGCTAGCAGCGTGTCGTGAAGCGCGCTTTTCCGCCCGTCCCGCCTCTCCCCCTCTCCCTGGCGGCGCGCAAAAGGGGTAGGGGGAGGGGGGAAGGCTTCTTGGAAGCACCCTGCTTCTTAGAAGACCACCGCCTTACGTCTATAGAGAAGGTCAGCGCCTTCTAAGAAGCGCAAAGGTATTTCTAAAAAGCCTTCCCCCCTACCCCATACCCCCCTCTACGCGTGGCCAAACTCCACCCTCCCTCCCTGAATGTAATCAGTTGTCGGCGATGGCCCAGGCTCGGCAATGGACAAAGCTCCCTTTAGTAAACCTCCCCTTAGTGAAAACGGCCTGGGACCGAAACCGACGGACCTGGACCCGCAAGAATGACGGCCGCGACGCCCTCTCGCGAACCGAAAACGGCCAATTCCTTAATCGACGTGTCATGGTAGGAGGTCTGTCCACCTCCGACAGGCTGGGGGGGAGGTGCCCGCCGATGACCTGACGCTTTCGCTCTGGGCAGCGGCACGTATGCCCGCGCGCGTCGGTACTGCGTCTCCTGCTGCTGCTGACGATGCTGCGACGCTGCTGCTAGTGGTGCTGCGACGATGCCGGCGCCATCCAGGAATTCCCCCAAAAAAGTGCGGACGCAGCTGGCATGATCTGATAAGGGACACCCTCGCGCAGCGTCAAGGGTTGTTGAGAGTGGCCACGAACAGCAGACGTAGCGCCTGCGCGGACCGTGCGACTTCCTTGTGAGCTCCCTGCGCCCTCCCCCTTCGGGCCTGCGCAGCCGACAATGGCTGGTTATCCCAGGGAAAGGGGGTGTGGGACTCAGGTTAATCGCTGGACCCTCCACCCCTCCCTCTCACCCTTTCCCTCCCCTGGTAGGCAAGGGCTTGCCCGAGCTGTGCTATGCAAGACTCGGCTCATATCGGCTGCCCTCCCGCCCCTGGGGTGGCGCCACGTGACCGCGAAGCTGCAACCAGGGCACTGGCGGAACTGGGGAGCGGCGGCCATGGGATGGAGCAACAACGAGGGTTGGAGCAGGAAGACGAGGACACGGATGCCCAGGGAGAGGGCAGCGAGAGGGAGGACACGGATGCCCAGGGAGGTAGGGGAGGGAGGTAGGGGAGAGAGGTCAAGACGCCCTCCAGATAGCAAGCCGTCTACCTCACTCCCACCCGCCCTCCCAACACCTCAACATGTTCCGCGGTCGTCTCTTGATGGACAGCTACTGGGAACCCAAACCAAGCCCATGTGCGCGACGCTGGGGCGAGGTGCGCCACGCGTGCCAGGCGCGCCACGCGCGCCAGGCACCCCTGGGGCCCGAGCGTGCCAAGCACGCCTGGTGCGCCAGATGCTCCCTCCAGCCGCGCCGGGTGCGCCACGTCCAGGGCACGTGCAGAATGTGTCAGGTGCGCCTGCTCACGTGACAGCACACATCGGGAAACATGTCGGCACCCACCATCCCTGTCGAAAACCAATGCCCATCATTGTGTCTGGTGGGCCTGCGCACAGCAGGCCGTACGCCACCACCCCCGCCGTCCCTGACAAAAAACACTTGACAATGATCGCGGGGTGGCCGCGCACTATCCACATTTAGCCGCGAGGCGCATTTTGTATTGTGTTTGTCAGGGATGCTAGCCCTGCGCACCGCAGGCAATATGCTGACACCCCCGCCGTCCCTGTCGAAAAACAAAACAAAGTGCCCGCGGGCCTCACGAACATGACTCAAGACTTTGCCCCAAAGTGTACTGTGTATTTTTTTGACAGGGATGGTGGGGGGGGCCGCATCGGGTTGGTTGAGCATGCCCCGAATTTGGAGGCATACTGCATTTTGTTATGTTTTCTGACAAGGATGGTGGGGGAAGGCCCTCATGGTGTGCGCATGGTTCCGGGTTGGCTGCCGGCTGGGTGGGGGGGGGGGTTATTAACAGGGAAGTGTGATAGAGGGAGGAAGGAGGAGGGAGAAGGGAGGTATGGGGGTATGGGGAGGAGGTAGAGGAGGGAGGTAAAGGGAGGGAGGTATAGGGAGGGAGGTAGAGGGAGGGAGTAGAGGGAGGAGGGAGGAGGAGGCGGAGAAGGAACAGCAGCAGCAGGCAAGCTCGGCGGGGTGGCGGCGGAGGTGCGGGCGCGGAGGGGGGCAGCGGGAGCCAGAGCAGAGGGAGGGAGGGGAGGAAGGCAAGCTAGGTGCGCTTGCGTCATATCTGTCGTCAGACCCCTCCCTCCCAACCCTTACCATGGCACCGATTTCCTCTTTATGCGCACAGGCTGATGTCGAGCAAGGCAATGATCCCGAGAGGGTTTGCGATGCATCGTAAACCACGGCATAGCATGGTGTAGAAGAGCGTGGCAGAGCAGAGCATGTCATAGCATGGCTTGGCATTGCGTAGTGTACCATTGCATCACAAAGCGTAACATCGCAAAGCATGGCATCGCACAGCGGAGCACAACGCAACATCGCATAGCACGCCATGGCATGGCACCGGATACCTTGGAGGGTAAATGGCCCGTGTACGAAAAGGAGAATGACTGTCCGGAATCCCGGCTCCATGTCCTGCGCAACCTTGCTTGCCCGATGTGGGCGCTTTCGAATGCCACGTGCTGTCTGGTAGGGGTACCGTAATAGCGTAAGGCCCCCCCTCTTCCTGTCGACGTGCTGCCTTGCGTTCCCCGAGCCCCCTTCCAAGTCTCCCTGGACTACCCGGACAGCTCTGCACGAGGCGTGGCGGATGGCCCGAAGACTTCCAGAAGCTCCAGGGACCGCACAGAAATTGCCGGCGGCGACAACGACGCAGACGACGACGGCGGCGTCGGCGGTGGAAGCTGCGGCGGGCGAGGACGGATGTCAGGGAATAGAACGGCGGGCTGCCAGGCTCGATGGTCTGGTTTCCTTGAACAATCGGCTCGCCCTGGGCCCCTGGACCCCTCACGGGGTCAAGACGGATCGGCGTTTTCAAGCTGGACCGTTTTTGAGGGTCCAGGGGGGCGCTTCCGCGGCCCCAAAAATCAACGAATCGACACCGAATATGTAATCACTTCCGATGGTTTTTTCGGGGGCAATGCTTTAGATTTGCGGGCCTATTTGGAAGGACCGAAAACCATGCCGTGGCATGGCGCTGGAAATAATGACGCCAGCGCTGCAGCGGGAGCACGATTCGGAACGAGCGGAAGCGCGGAAATGAGGCCAGCGCTGCAGCGGGAACGCGCATGGCGCGGCGAAGCGGCGAAGCCCCAAAGGGGGGAGGTTCTGCGGCCCAAAAATCAACGAATCGACACCGAAGGTGTAATCACTTCCGATGGTCGTTTCGGGGGGCACTGTTTTAGATTTGGGGGCCTATTTGGAAGGACCGAAAACCATGCCGTGGCATAGCGCTGGAAATAATGACGCCAGCGCTGCAGCGGGAGCACGATTCGGAACGAGCGGAAGAGCAGAAATGAGGCCAGCGCTGCAGCGGGAGCACGAGTCGGAACGAGTGGTAGCCCGACAATGAGGCCAGCGCTTCAGCGAGAGCAGCATTTTGAGAAAAAACTCAAGCGAAAACCCAACTCCCGGGAATCCGGAGTAAGAAACCTATATGCGGAGGGGGGCCGAGCATCTCCCAGGCGTCACCAGGGGAGAGAGGAGAGTGGTCTTCATATTGAGTAATTGTAGAGACGAGTGAGGATGGGACGGGAGGGAAGCTAGGGAGGAGGGCGAGGAGAGGAAGGGGGGGAGGAAAGAGGGAGAGGCGAGGGAGGAGGGCGATGGGAGGGCGAGGCTTGATGCGCTCGCGCCACATCTGACATCCCACCCCTCCCACCCATCCCTTCGCATTGCGCAGACTTTTCTGTAGCCACCGACGAGTGTCGTAGCCGACAGGGAACCCTCAAAAAATGAACTAATCGTGCTTTGCGCAGGCAGCAAATGGACCGGTGTACACTGGAGGGGGTGGACGGAGGAGAAGGCAGAGGTGGCAGATGAGCAGGATGATGAGCAGGATGATGAACATGATGATGAGCATGATGGTGATGATGATGATGATGATGATGATGATGACGACGACGATGACGACAACGATGACGATGACGATTACAATGATAATGACGATGATAACGATGATGATGACGACGATGATGTTGGTGATGATAATGATCATGATATAGATCATGCTGAGTTTCATGTCGATGTTGATGTTGTTGATAGGTATGATGATGAGGATGAGGATGATGACGATGATGACAGAGATGATGATGATGCTGCTGATGATGATGGTGCTGTTGATGATGATGCTGATGCTCATGCTGATGCTGATGGTGACGCTGATGGTGATGATGATGGTGATAAGCGTGCCGACGCTGATGATGAGAATGATGATGAGTATGATGCCGCTGTCTGTCATGATAATGATGGTGATGCTGCTGATGATGATGATGGTGCTGATGATGATGATGCTGATGCTGATGGTGACGCTGACGGTGGTGATGATGATGATAATGCCGACGCTGATGATGGTGATGATGATTATGATGCTGCTGCCTGTCATGACAATAATGATGATGATGATGATGCTGATGATGATGATGATGATGATGGTGATGATGCTGATGATGACGATGATGATGATGATGTGATGGTGAGGATAACGATAACGATGCCGATAACGATGACGATGATGCTGATGATGATAACGATGCCGGTGATGATGATAACGATGATGATGCTGATGCTGGTAATGTTGATGATGATGCCGATTACGATGCCGATTACGATGGCGATGACGATGATGATGTAGATGATGATGATGGTGATGATGATGACGATGCCGATGACGATGGCGATGACGATGGCGATGGTGATGATGGTGATGATGATGATGATGACGATGATGCTGATAATGATGGTGACGATGGCGGCGATGATGCTGATGATGATGATGCTGATGCTCATGCTGATGGTGACGCTGATGATTATTATGATGATAATGATGATGGTGCCGATTACGATGGCGATAACGATGGCGATGGCGGTGATGGTGTTGATAATGATGATGGTGATGATGATGACGATGCCGATGACGATGGCGATGACGATGGCGACGACGATGGCAACGGTAATGATGATGATAATGATGATGATGATGATGATGATGATGATGATGACGATGATGATGATGATCATGATGATGATGAGGATGCTGATGCTGAGATCATGATGTTTATGCTGTTGATGAATGTGATGATTGCTGTTGTTTATGATGAGGAGGAGGACGACGACAGGAGAGGACGAGAGAGGATGAGGTGCGAGAACAAAAAAGCATGCGGGAGAATGAGTACCCCGCCCACGCATAATCTGGGAAGAGGGGACAGCAATATGCATATTGAGTAGTTGTGAACGGAAGGGAGCAAGAGAAAGGGGGCGCAGGGACGGGATAAGGGGGGAGCAAGGGCTGAGGAGCGAAAGAAGATAAACGAGGGAGGGGCACGATGGACCAAATTGGTTGTTGTGCTATTGGTGCCTGGCCAAACCGATACAAACTTCACGCCACGGGCCGCCGTCACGGCCACCCAACGGCACCTTCTCCACATCAGCCGCCACCAGCCTGGCGAGTACAGTCGGGACCCTGAAGAAGGAACCCTTTTCGTTGGGGAGGGGCTCCGTGTTCCTTGATTGCTTCACAGTTTGCCTTGGGTTTTCTTTTGGTTTTCGATGGGAAATCGAAGTTCAATTTGTGGATAGAAGGGGCCTCGTTCCTTATTTAGGGTTCCTTGGGTCAACGCTCCGACTGTAACACACTTCAGCCGATCAGAGCCATCGACGAGCAGTGCAGTCACGGGAAAATGTAGGAAGGACTGCGTGTGTCTTCTCCGCACAAGCCGACGCAAGCCAAGCGAGTGACACACTTCAACCGTTCAGAGCCATCCGCGAGCCCGTCTAGCTAGACATAGGAAGGACGGCGCGGCCCGTCGCCGCCTGCGCTGCAGATGGGAAATGCAGCGGGACGCGACGCCTGAAACAGTGGCGCCTACACTCGGGGAGGGGGCGGACGAAGGGACGCACAGGGCCTGGCGGCAAAGGGGAAGGAGGAGGAGGGAAGAGGAGGAGGAAGACGAGGAGGAGGAAAAAGAGGAGGAGAAACAAACAAAGAAAGAGGGTGGAGGAGTGGGAAGGGGGATGAAGGGGAGGAGGAGGAATTGGAGAAGGAGGGTGGAAGAGTGGGGAGGGGGAGTGCGGCGGCTGCTCCCAGGGCTGCTGCGGCTGGCGATGCTTCCCCCGCTGCTGCCGCGCGGGCCGGTGACGTAGCCGCGGGGCCCGCCGGCTGTGCAGAGTCTTGCGCGCTCCTCTTGACTTCTGCCATTTCCTGTCGCGGTCGTCGTAGTTTTTCGCCGTGAGGGCTGGGATAGGACGAAGAGGGGGGAAGAGGAGGATGTGCCTACCCATTGTGGCAAATTGCTGTTGCCGACGTGTTGCCAAGAGCCGTCCGGCGACGCATTTGGAGTTGCTGTTGCTGCTGGCCGCGGTGCTGGTGCTGGTGCTGGTGCTGCTGGTCGGCTGTCCGCCGTTCCAGGTGTCAGCGTTGCGCATGGGATAACCTCCCATGGAACCCGGAACCACAAACTGCGGAGCGCTGGAGGTACCCCTGGTCATCCATACCGCGTGCGCTCCTGGAACAGGTTGCTGCTCGGATGGACCTGACGGCCCCTGCTGACCCAGAAATGTAAGTTGTGCGGAAGCTGGCGGTGATGGTGGTGCTGGGGCGTAGCCATTACGGAAGAAAGCGCGCCCTTGGCTGCGGCGCCAGGGGCAGCCGCGCACGAGATGCTTCTCGGAGTCGCACTCGTAGCATTTAAGACGCACCCCGTCAGGACCCATGGGTCAGCCTCGGCTGCCGGACCCCATGCCACTGGCCCTGAACTTTTCTTTGCCTTGACCTTTGCCTCCCCGGAGGCCCACGACAGTTTTCGGACAATTTTGCCAAGCAGGCGCGGTAGCGTTGACTTTTGCCCTTGCCCTTTCACTCGATGACTCTCCAGACGCGGTGCGTGGGCTTGTGGTTGTTGAAGCTGCGACAGCGTGCTCTGGCGCGCTCGTAAGCCCAGAAGCGGTGCGCTCCGCGCTGATCCACAGGAGCGTCACGTAGCGTGGCATCGTCTGCGGCCAGACGTTCGCCGAATGAGTCGCCAGAATCGGCGCCTGTATCGACACCGGCTGCTGGGAATGCCCCCATGTGCTGGTGACGCCGTGCTGGTGTCGCCAGCGGCCACTGGTGCAAGCGGGCTCGGTGCCGCTCCCAGCGCAGCTAGACCCATACCGCCCCAGTTCGATTCGGCCACGGAACCACAAGCACTCTGAACCTGACCCTGCTAGGGCGCACCTGTAAGGTGGGTGTGCTGTTGGGCAGCATAAACCACCGAGGCGAGGTGACCTGGCGATCCCTAGATCATGCGCCCAAAACGCCGCAGCTGGCCCGTCATGTGCGTGAGCTGCTGGGCGTTCGTGGAGTAAACCATATTGCAGTGCTGCAAACTCATGGCAAGCTGGATGTTCGACACGCCAGCGGCGCACAGCAAGAGGAAGCTGAGGCCCTCGTAGCCAATCATGAATCGTCCAGCTTGCTGCGCCCAGTCGCGAAGGATTCCCAACCGAGTGAGGAGGTTGTCGATGCGCTCTTGCGGCAGTCCGTTGGAGTTCATCCTCAAAGACGACGCTGCCAAAATGCGCTTTACCTCGCCTGGTTGGCCTCGCCATTCGGTCAAAGTGTGCATGAGTAAGGTAATCGGCGGCACTAGGCGGTCATCAATGATCCCTCCATGGATCGGGACAGGTGGCGCCATTCGTCCACGCACTCGCGCGGAGAGCTGGCAAGGCGCGACGAGGCGTAGGCCGCCTGGCGGACCTCGTTGAGGTCTGAGTTCGCCACTGACCAGATCATCACCTCGCGCACCCACTTCTGGAAGGCACTCGAGCTTGCTGCTCGGGACCCCCAGGTGCGGAGGTGTCGCGCGCTACCGCCACCGCCGCCGCCTGCGTCCACCCGATGACCTTCCATCCAGAACGCATCTCGCCGCGGAGGTGCTGGAGGCCGGGGTTCCACCAGCGTCGTCGCTCGGGCAGCGTGCCCAAGAGCTCCCGTGGACGCCT